CAGAGTCTGTTCAAGCTTTAGTCACCAGCCTAAAGACACGATTGCCGTTTCTTTGAGCGGCTAGGTATTGATTGTGAAATGGTCTCAATCTCGTTCAGTGGGTATAAGGCGTAGCCAAGATGGCAAGATTTGGCTCCCAGCAGACGTGTGCCAGAACAGTTAGAGCAGCCGGACGCCGATTTTGAAGTGCATAGTTTTGTATGTCTCGATCTTAGCAATAAGGAACTTGTGGCGTGGGATGATTCTTTAGGCAGATTCACCAATCCCTAACAAAGTGGACGGCCTTCGATGTTTCTTTTTCCCTTTCTCACTTCTTCTTTTATTTCACTTTTCTCTATTTTATACTTTCCTGCGTCTTTCTTTATTCTTTATTATCAGGTTGATTTTTCATCGTTGTTTTTCTTTCCTGTTTTTTTTCTCCCTCTGTTTCTCGGTTCTTCTTTCTTTCCCTATCTTTCTATTTCTCTCTCTCTCTCTTTGTTTCTCTCTCCTCTTCTATTTTTCACTTCCTTCCGAAGTCAGACTTTATACTCACCCGTCCTTTTTTTTTCTTTCATACCCTCTAATCTCCCTGCCCAACACTCGCATCTCGTTCCAACTTTCTTCTAGTATTACACAATACAAGGCTATGCGATGGTGGGATTGCGTGCTCATATCGATATTGGTCGCCACGTTTGCCTTCAGGTCACGGGTACGCGGGTTTAAATCCCTCTTTGTCAAGAATGTTTTTCATCAAAAATTTTTCTTTCACTTCCCTGATATCTTTTTTTTTCTCTCGCTCACTGTACTGATTTCATCGCCCATGGCAGTTAATGGGTTCCACGCCAGACGAATCGGCGCACGTGTTTCGGTAGTCAGACGAAAGTTAACAAGATGAAAATGAAGAGGAGGACGAAAAGACCTCGTTTCGGCTCATGGTTACAAAAAATAGTTTTGTTCGCACTGCTCAGTTCGTCTTAACAGCTCCTCCTTTAAAAACAAGGTAAAGACAGAGGTGGAGAATAGCACAAGCCTTCCTTGCAGTGATTTCTGTTTATTTGGCACCTCTAAATATTCAGTTTTCTGCACTCGAGGTCTTCATTCTATTCTGGCAATATCTGTGTAAGTTGCGGCTTACCTTCGTGCGATTACCACCCACCAACTGGGAAATGCCGACACGTCAAGAAGAGTGAATAGCCGTTATCAAAGTCAGCATGCGCTTCAACGTTCTAAGAACCTCCTCACTTTTATCATTCATAATGGTTCACTCTTATCAACTCCTCCAGGAGAAACGCAATGCCGGGAATATGCACAGGCCTGCATGAATGCAGTGCTCACATCAGTACTGCATGGCTCCCACTGTGCTTCAAGTGGACGACAAGCTCAAAGTCCTTAAACACAAGCGTAGAAAGAATGTTAAACACTAATGATTCATTATTCAAGCATAGAAAACACATCAAGACGTATTCCGATATTACCTGGAGCGGAAATACAAATTATCATTATAAAAAATGGAATAGGTGCCTTCAATAGCCAACATGATGACTAAAAATACGCAGTACAAGTACCACGGCACAGCCTCCACAAATCAGTGGGGCCACGAAGACGATATTTGGAAAAAATGAAATTCTGTTGTCTACCGGTAATGGTGCATTCGCGGACGCGCCGCGAACACCGTCGTCAACTGATTCCGTAGACTGTCCTCCTAATTACTTTAATATTTGTTAAATACACTTTGAGGTCTCGGTATTGTTTCTTTTATCATGTTTTCTCCCGTCCAGGTAGTTTTACATGACATTGTCGACTTCAATAGTTATCACAGCATGCTTACAGAACAAAAAAAAATTATATGGAACACATAACGCCTTTATTGTGCAAGCGAACCGTAGGTTCGAGAATGGACGTTGTAGTTATGCCATATGAACACGGCGTGTACCGCCGCCTAATGATAATATCTTGGGATTTATGCCCCAGAACTCGCACATAATTATGAGGGATTTCGTATTCAGGGGCTCTAGAAGCTTTTACCACCTGTTGTTTTATAGCGTGCACTGGCATCACAGAATACACAGGCCTCTACCATTTCGCCTCCACTGAAATGCGGGCGCCGCGGCCGGGATACAACCCGCAACCCTTCGGGTCAGTAGCCGAGCAGCATCGACGTTGATTAGTCATGGCCGACTATCCAACCACCTTATAAAGGCAACCAGAAAATGCGGTGCTTATGTTCTTATACGTTCTATCATTTGTGCTGCTGCTTCACCCCCGTAATAGCTCGCATGGCTCTTCAGTTCACTTCATCTTGCGGCGGAAAAATTCGGCAGATCCCACGTTCCTGGGAATCGACGTTATACGAAGCGTGCGGAAGGAAGGTGCCCATCTTGCAATTTTTTTATTGAGTGACACTTCAAGAAATGACGCTAATGATACGTACAAATGTTGCACGCCTAGACAAATGTCGAATAGTCTCAGATATTCATATAGCCAGTCGTTTGCACTTGCGCAGCAATGCCAACTGGAACATGCGTATTAGCAACGCCAGACGCTGATATGAAGCGCTGATGCTCGCGAAGATGCTGGCCCTAGACCCTGTTACATAAATCAACTTCAGCGCATAGCAACTAACCACAACTGACGTTAACCCGACGTGACGCCTGTATCAACGAAGTACATATGTAATGTCTATAAAATTGGGTAGCAAGAGCTGCAGCCACTATTGACGTTTCATGAAGACTGGCATCTATTTGAGAAATAGTTCCGAGACCTAGCTTTGCTCTCTGGTAAAAGGCTTCATTGCCACGCAGAATGCTTGGATTTGATTCCAGCTGAGACCCTGCCATTTATTCTTTGCATTCGTCGGGTCGATGGTACCGATGTCGAGTATTTCTTAACGCTTGCGTGTCAGAATTGCCCATGTTTGTTGTCGTTCCTGGGCAGACACCAATTGTCGATCCCCCGTGGCACATACCCGCCCTTGGGTATTTGCCACTGTCTGGCGAGAAGAGTTTACTAGTGTACGCGACGGAATTGTGACACAATTACAGGGAAAGCTGTTACGAGATCACAACTCGGTTGACGCGCCACCGTAGTTGTCCACCGCCACCGCCGGTGTCCTTAATCACATCGTACCTAGCGACACAGCTGGTACCCAGCGGACCCGGCTCGAAGCCGGGTCCACTGGGTGCCAGCTCAGTATTCTACCACTGAGCCACGCCGGTGCTTGAAACTCGTTGGCAAACTTATCCTAGGCAGGTTTGATATTGGGAAAGCAATCACGTGAATGCGACTTATAAAGCGTTTTAAAACAGCGAAAGAACAACCACTCGTCACACAATGCGAATCGCGTAACTAGTGGGTCGTCCAATGATCTAACCTATTACAAAAGCCTGTTCTTGTTCACCTAATAACTGTGGCGCATACCCACTTGAGGCATGATTTCTTATTATCGTCAGTCATTGCATGAATGATCGGCACAAAATTCCTTGCAAGTGTTTAGCGGATGCCACAATTCGTAGAAGAATGACAAAAAATTACGCAGTGAATTCCGGCCTACTACAAAAATATTTTTCCAAATAATGCCATAGTGGTTATCAAGCAAATGCGCTTGCAGTAGCTACCCAATGAGTGCTTAGAAAAGGTTCTGAAAGGTCGCTCTTCCAGCTTTTGCAGTGACTGTGCAGCGCCTTACGCGCAGGTGTGGCGTTTTTAATGTCTTGACCAGCGCGTCATATTTGTCAAGCCGTCTTACCCTCTCATGTTAATTTTGGTTCACGCCAAAATAAGGAGGTGACCACGAGAACACCCAAACGTAGGTGGATATATATATAGACAGATAGATACGCTCAAAGTCACCGAAGTTCGCTTTGAAATGCTTCGCGTTTAAAATGAAGGCTGTGAAGTTATGCATGTATACTTTATTTTGTGAACTGCAATAGAGGCTATCAATGAAATTCCGCTACCACGAGGCAAACTCTGGTATTACATACTTAAACAAACCAGGCACATGGGTCAGTGGCTGTTTCATAAAGAAGCGTGCAATGTGATTGCTCTAGCTCACAGCCAGAGCACTCAAATACATTTTGCTTAGGTGGTCAACGCGTTAACCCCATTTGGCCCGTGTTTTAAGGCGTATAATGCAGTAAAGGTTAGTTACGAAGTTGAAAAAAATATTTAGGATTTCTTCTGTTTGAAACCTACTCATGAATGCGAAAGGAATATGGCACAAATAAAAAGAGGAAATTTAGTTTTTCATTTTCAAAGAGGCCTTATAGAGAATCATTCTTGTGGTGGCTTTTTATGAGCGATTTTCTTCCGCGACGCTTAGCGCCATTGCTTTCCCTGTCACAGCGCACTCATTTGCCCATTCACTTAACCATTTCACTTGTTCACTTTCTGGCTTCTGTTCACATAGGCGCGTTAAGTTTGTCAGTAGATGTGTAGCGTTTTTATTGTTCTAAATGTGTCGTTATGGTTGTTTGCACTAACAAATAGATACCAGTGAGCGTACCAGCATCAATAAGCTCAATTTATTTAAAATGGTGAGGACGTCAAAACACGACCGAGCTATGACCCGTTGATTAAACCGGAAAGCTGAAATCTTGTTATCGTGAGGCATCTGCACTACTCGAGCAACGCTGAGTCACAGTCACGTGTACTCCGATACACGTTATCTACGATTGCACTTGTTAGCTTATGCACCATGCGACTGGTGTCTCACTATCATAACGTGCTTATCTTTTAGACGTCGCCTCAGCTTGGACGACACAAAGGAAATGTCTGGAACCTGATTCAGTCTGACCCTACGAGCTTGTGACTATTGCGGTGAAAGCTGTTTTCTATTATTCTTACATACTTTATCAGCTGTTCCCCGCTCGAGATACGCAGGGGTGCGTTATTGAGACCGCCACTCACTACAGCCGCTTTCCACGCAAACCTAGCAAGAGAGGTAGGCGTCACCCGCTATCAGGAGGTGTAACAAGAAAAAAACGCCCATAAAAAGATCCAGTGCGAAGTACAGTGCTTTTTATCTCGAACCAATTCGAACACCTAAAAGAGAATGCATAGAGGGTGATAAGAAAACTACTATATATCGTTACTTTCTCGAGGGACCGCCGGCAGGAGGAAGAAAAACCCGGGGAAACTTACTTTACGAGGCAAGTGTACGCGCGGGCAGCGAGAACCTACGAAAGAGCACAATGGTTGTGGAACTGTACAACGCTCCGGGAAGCCCACCATGCACGTTCGTCAGAGTTGTAGCCAAGAAACTGGGCGTCGAGCTCAAGTTGAACAACTTTAACCTCATGGCCAAGGAGCACCTCAACCCCGAGTTTGTCAAGGTGAGCCTGTACGAATCGTGCGTTCTTTCATACAGTCAACGAGCTGGCTTCTACCTAGTATAATTTGACGGGACTGAGATATGTGACAGATATCAGGAAATTTTCGAGACGCATGATCGAAAATGCAGACGATTGTTCAAGTGCTTTATCAGCTGATTACTGTGAGCGACAGAGAAAGCGGGACTTGGAAGCTGAAGCTGTGCCCTGCGTGTGGGCAGATAAAACCACCTAAGCAACACAAGGATATTCAATGGTCTCTAAGGGACGTCGTGCCGAACGGCTGATACAAGCTGTTACAGTAGCGGGGTGGAGTAAATGTGCAAAAAAATTTGCGGAACAAATCAATTCCAAAGCACTGGTGAATGTAAACGAAACGTTTGCAAATGTAGCATAGATAGCGGGTGCAAAAATTGCAATTAGGATATACAGAGTGTTGAACCTCGACAAAAGATCCTCGTGTCATGCCATACTGAATGTAGGTTCTTAAAAACGAAAGATAGGCCCTAACAGAGACATTGTCCAAGACCGTAAGAGCACGACTACTTTGCCGATGCGTTTCCTTCGAGTCGTATTGCGTATAGAAGAAGAGTACACATATCTGAAAATGCAGGAGTGAAGGTGTTGGCAACAGCGTTAAGTATGTCGCCCTTAATCCCTTAGATTATTCTTAAGAATAATTTGTAAATAAAAAAACTATTACTGGTTTCTAACACACAGACAATGATCAGTTTTCTTTTTCAATTTTAAATTTTAGTATCTCTTAGTGGCCGCTATATCTGGTACGAATACTTACGACCACATTATTATATTATCGCACGTATTCAAATATTTACCCGTAGTAGCATCAGTACCTATAGGTGTGACGGAAGTTACATTTTTAAAAGAAGCAGTCACTGTCATAACAAGATGCTTGCTTGAGTTGGCGGCAAAAAGTTAGAGCATCGAAAGAATTTGTCTAGTTCTAATATTTTTTTTTCTGCTCGATGCCAGCGTGAGAAAAACTTCAAGTTCTGAAGATTTAAAATAAAAATATAATGACCAACGAATTTTTTTTACTGAAGGGAAATTCTAGAGATTGCTTAGATCATGCAGGTGGCAACGCACTACACTAGACTCTACTCCCACCATTCTTCTTTAATTAATTCAACGTTCTCGGGAAGCATTTTAAGGCAAATGGATTCATTTCTAATTATCTAGGAAGTTACTGCTACCTAACAATCTTGCCATCACACAAAGGCATTACCATGGTTGTAATAACATAGCAGCGTCATCTCATAGAGTTCTTGATATTACTGATATGACTGATGGAGCTCAAAGGAGCTTCGAGCGATCCTCCACATAGAAAAATTGTCAGCGGATATTTTTTTTTCTTTATTGCAGTTGAACCCGGTACATACCGTCCCCACAATCAACGATAATGGTTTTGTTCTTTGGGAAAGGTATGTTGTACAATCTTTTATTGTGGCTTCTTTAAGCTTCTCAGTTTTAACGAACATTTGCCTACACAGTCCTCGTTCACAATCTCCCTTAAAATCTCCATCGCATGATGGTGAATGGGTGCAAAAGTCTGAAAAGACTCGCTATAAAAAACTGTGTCTGTACAAGTTGGAAGATAAGGAAGGCACGCAGAACTTTATGGACAAACGTACTCACTTAACGTCTCGCGCTGCTGGTCCAGCCTTCGATTGAGTAGTACCAGAATCTTGTACAGCTCTGGCGATGCCTAAGCTGACAATCAAAGCTGTTATTTCAAATGTACCTCAGTGGAACAAAATCTGTGACTCGTTATTCGAAGATCACTGGTCTAGCTTCTATAAATAACTATCCCTATATTTTGCGTGGCTTCGTTGTAAGTTCTAATTAATAAACTCTCTAGCAAAAAAAGGGAACACCTAATAACGACTGCATTATTCAAACATGAAGCCACGGTTTGCGAAGCTCTCCTGAAGCTCATGAAATTTGTTCTGCCTGTTTCTGCCAATATTCAACAATTTCAGCCGTGCCATCGGGATGTACCTGGTGGACAAGTATGCTCCGGAGTCCACGCTGTACCCGAAGGACTTGCAGAAGAGAGCCACCGTCAACAGGCTGCTTTTCTTTGAGTCCGGCACCTTGTTGTCGGCACAGATGGCATACTTCGTAAGTGTGCTGCTGGCTGCTCTTTGTATTTACTGTCACATTGTCTATATCACGCTAGTAATTATTCATGCATTTCTGCGGAATGCATACAGCGTCCATATAGCATGCTCATATTTGCCATGCACCAGTATGGATAAAAATGTTAAGAAATATGTGGCGTACTTGAATCGCATACAAACCATTTCTGTCGCATTTTTTCGTTTGGTTTTGAACGAAGAAGGGCAACTGAAATTTTAGGAAATTATGATACTAGGACATTTTATAAGCGCCAATGGCCAACTGATGCCAGGAAAAACCTAAGATTAAAATTTGTGGCAAATTTCACAACGCTCTGTTATCTTGCTACTAGACACCACTGATAATTCATGAAAGGTAATTTTGAAAAATACCCAGTGCTGTACAGCGGCTAATAATTTCTTTAGTTCTTTTTTACCAGTCTTCTTTCACTTGGAGTGGTATGGTCAGGTGCACTTTTGACACGCGGTCATTAGCTCTCAGGTGATAGCAATATAACCGAAGACTCTGAGCGTTCGCTAGCCTTTACAAATTATTAGAAAAATATTGGCCACATTGTATGAAAAGATACCACTTTGCCAGACAAGAAGGTACTTTCGCTGCTGCACAACTCACCTCAAAGCATGTGGCACGAGCTATTGATCTAATTTTTAGGCTACCCGAGTAAATTTCTCTCTACCGCTTAAGTTTGGAGCATGGTTTATTAGCCACTCTTGCCTTTATAACACGCGCGAGTGCTTCCGGTCTGGGCGAAACGGCAACGGTAATATTCCATAGGCTATTGCCTGAAGCAAACATGCGACTATTTTCTCATATTGTTCTCAATATTACATAATGCAGGCGCTATTTCTGTACGTGCAAGTTTTCTTGGACAGCAGTGAGGGAGCGTAATGGAGGGACATTAGGAGATCGGAGATCAATGCTCCGCTCAGTGGGAGTACTTTAGTTGTGCCAACGTGCGTGATTTTCTTTTTTGATTGTTACCTGGAGCTATATTTAGGCGCGCGGTTTCCTCGAACCAAAGTAAAAGAGAACAGCTCAAATTATTTTCTGTTACCGACAAAGCTCATGGCCATCTTTACTTTCATTGTTGGAAACCGGCGAATGACCTATGGTACGTTCTGAAAATGCCCACCGCACTCCCCTCCTTTTCTTCTATGTCATTACGTGCAGACACGACCGAGAGAAAACGCTTTGAGAGTAAAGCGTACGTGGAATTGCGGGCACCAACGAATGTTTTGTTCTTTTCTTGCGGCACGTATAAAAACATGCACGACGATATGGGCTCCCTCCAAAACCATATTTTATTTCAGAATCACCAGAGGTCAAGAAACTTGTTTAGAGCTTCTCCGCGAGTCTTTTTTTTCTATTTTTTACTAGAGATGAAAATAAAGTGCGATGTCACGCAGGGCCGCGCTCATATTGAGTGCGTGAATTAGAGACGTCGTGTCGAAGGGCATTGGAACGCGCGTAAAGCACCACGGCTGTGTTTCTTTTATTTTTGACATTACTCTATTCATACACTTTAAGCACCGTAACTGGGCTGGCAGTCGTGTGTAATGGAGGTAAAATAAATTCTTTGTCACGGTGTATTTATGTAAAGCTTTATTTGATTTAACTAGATATGAGCGAGGCACCACTTCTTACATTTCTGAGTACACAAAAGAAACGCAAACGCATATGCAAGCGGGAACACGTTACTACATTCTTGAAAACTAATAATGGTGAGAAGTTCGATGCACTGCTTTTTCGCTGAACTTGGTCAAGTTAGTCAAACAGGTGGTTCCTTGGCTTTATCACGGTTTTGGTTATCATTTCTTGAGATGACTGCCGTTTGTTTCGTTTGATTTCATCGCATATGTGCCATAGCGGACGAGTTTCTACGTATGATCCAATAACATGAGCATAGGTTTTATGACAGGCATAAGAAACCACTTTCACATAGAAATTCGAGCACGATTTCGCTGACTGGTAGGGAAACTCTCCCTCACTGTATGCGTAGTGTAAGTTTGACACCACAAAACATGGCAATAGCATACGTTGAGGAGGTTTAACGCAACGCATAAGCATTAACTTCGTTTGCCGCCTTATGCGAATGCTTCCGAGACCTCCTAGTCGGGCGTTGACTCCACAATGGTTGCTTAGAGATAAGTGTAAAGCGCGCCTATGTGACGCTTAAAAGCACAACCAGTGCCTGCACGACGCTCCAAACGACTACGCCACTAAGCGAGAACAGCGAGCGCAGCTGTTATCTGATTTCTCGTGTTGTGTGTGCATTCTGTAACTCTCTCAATTTACTTCTTTGTCTGAATCGTTGCAGCGGCCTAAGTGGTTCAAGGGTCAGGAACCGACATCAGACCTGAAGGAGGCGTATGATAAGGCCCTTGGCACCGCCGTAACGCTGCTGGGAGACAAGAAGTTCCTGTGCGGCGACAACGTCACCCTGGCGGACATTGGTCTTGCCTGCACGTTGGGAGTAGTGATTGAGGTGGGTGTGAAACTGCGTTCGCTTTCTGCTTTGTTACTGTGAGCTTGATGCATTCAGACGGAAGGAGGGTTAGTAAAGGGGTTCTAGAATTTTCGCCAACCACAGGACTTGGCTCATGTCTATGTAGAGTAGAAGATTGGCAAGATGATGCGGATATAAAAATATGGAAGCTAGCTTTTGCGTATAGACTGCTTGCATACTCTCTGCTAAGGAAAGCAGTTTGATAAAAAGTTAAGGACAATTGAAACAATGAGATTGAAACAAGGGCAGCGTGTGTAGCTTGGTTACCCAAAAAGTGGTAGAAAGAAGATGAAAGCAACAAAGCCAGCGCGATATGATTCTGTACTTATCGTAAAGTTATCGCCGGCATTTGCTCATTGCTGATTTACCGCCAGCTTAGGCCTCAGCTGAGTTTGCCTCTGACAGCGATGAGTGCTCAGAGCTGGCAACATGGTGAGAGATCGTTTGCCATAGCTCTTAGCGTCTTCGCGAGTTATATTAATGAGGGCTGCATACTAATTCTTTTTATACAAAAGCAAATTACACATTGTTAGCAAACGCTGTTGCACCATGATAAGCAGTACGTAAAGAGACGCTCGGTAAATATGCATTTGAGTTTCACGAAAGCCACGACAGTCACATTTTATTTGGTGAAAAAACTTTACGAAGGTAAGTGTGACGGTTTTTCGATACAATAACTTCCTATTATACTAAAAGTACATCTGTTTCTGGGTTTAGCGCGTGCAGCCAATGTAGATGCAATTCGAGAAGCCCATGTACTGTGCTACGTCCATCCACATTGAAGAAACTTTAGAATTACACAAAACCCTTCCCCAACCCGTGTGTTGATCACGTGTCGTCAAATGCTGTCAAGCTCCTTAAACAAAAGCAACCTAACGAAGCGAAGTTTCCCAAGAAGCAAGGCTCTTAATTCGGAAGTCTGATTGAATACTGTGAAAAGCATCAAATGAGTGGAAGCTGTTAGAGCGGAAAACTTCAGAGGGCTGGGCTGTCGCTTGGCGCAGCGCTCTTTGTGTAGAATAGTGAGCATGTGCTCAACATTCTTCTTCTTACTCAAAGAAACTTCTTACTACTGCTATTCTAGCACTTGAATCATCAACTCTTATCACCACGCAGAAATCAACTAGTGCGCTTGGTGTAACTTAGCTGAACCCACGTAATAAAATTAGCAAAAAAAGGAAGCGAGTACGACATAGAGACACTCAAATGGCAGAAAAATGGGATAAAAAATGCAATCAAGCAAGAAATATAACCATGACAAGGAAGAGAGAAAAAAGACAAAAACAATAAAGGATAAACGGCCAAGAAGGGAGGGAAGAGAAAGAAAACCGAAAAGAAACAAAAAAAGGCTGCCCAGCTTCGCTCTTTCTTGAGGATTGGCACCCCTTGTGGAAAGCTGCATAATTTTTTTTGCTTTGCATCTATGAATTTTAATTAGGCCACGTGACCACCTTAACGTAAAAAACATCTTGATGTTCATTTTATACATTTAAATTTCGTGCAATAATAACTCACAGCCCGATTTCAACATTTTTCTTGAAGCAAAATATTTCAGCATTTTGAATGCCTCATTTGACCAGGGTGAAGTTAGCGTTACTTCGTTGTATAGCGTGGGAAGCGATACTTTCCTCTACTTAAACCGGTGTACTTCAGGTGAATAAAAAGAGGAAATCAAAGATGATAGCTACATGAGGTGTGTCTTACTTTAGTATTCGTGAAAGAAGCTGGTTCTTTCGAGCATAAATTCCCCGACTACATAAAGAAAGGCGATCTGCGTACTTATCAACGGCGCAGCATCGCCCAACGCAGGAGTCTAGACTTTGGGTAGATATCAGCTCAACAACGTAGGGTTCGCATCTTTTGTCTCTCGTGTGTCTCTCTATGCCTCATCTCCTTGGCAGAAAATATTAACCACTCGGCGAATAGAAAAAAAAAGCAGTGCCATGGGTGTAACTTCAAGCTAACGCCAAGGAAGAAAAAGTACTCTGTGGTATTTTTTACATACGTCATCTTGGGTAAATACTCACATTCGCAATATCCATTTCGACTCACATCGTTGCTTTGATTGTCAATCTTACTTGCTGGACTCTCCAGAAATCACTGCGGGCCATCTAATATAAGAAATAAGGAACCAACGCGGAACCCCGGTGCACGTTTGGAACCACATACACGGAGTTATCTACGACATTTCCCTGTTTGGTGTCCTTTTCATTAAAATAGGCTTCATGGTTACAAAAGAAAGTGTGTACCTCATACGTTGCCCAGAAAAAAAAACAGGGTAATTTATTTCAATTATTTACCACTCCAACAGCGAACAAATTGTGTTAAGATCGGTTATGCGGTCTAAATGTGCATCTCACCCTAGTGATCGTTCACAGGTCATGCAGTCCCACTCGTAATATAGCTCCTAGACAAGTGTTCTAAAATTCGGAGTGGCACCCTTGAAATTGTGTGCAACTTCAGCTATGTGCGTATCATGTTCCTGCTCATCTAAATGGGTCATCAAATACGTTGTCTGATTTTATCTAAAATAGTGAAACGGACATGATGACACGCGCAAAAACTAAAATCATAGTAAGGTAACGATCGATTAGTTTAAAGAGAGCTGGCATTTTCATGAGGCCCAAAATAAAAGTCATGCTAGGCTTTTGTCAAATTTCGGCTAAGTAAAGCTGTTTCAGTCACTTTCTAACTCGCTTTTTTCCGTAGCCAGGAACTACTTGCGGTAGATGACATTAGGTTACGGTAGATGATGCAACGGTAGATGACGTTAGGGTACGTGTGCTTAGCGTTAATTCTTGGTACATTAAAGAACATCAAAGCTGGCTTATTAAAAAGTTAGCAGTATGCTCGTGAAATACATTTGGCGAAATTGCTAATATAATAAGGGTAATGCTCTGGAAAGTTTTTAAAACATTGTCTACTTCAGACGTGTCCAAAAACTTGAACTTGGATAATTATTGAACAATTTGCTCTCTTTGCTATTCAGTTTCTTAGCATACTGTTTCAAGACTGCGAGGTAGGAATACTTTGTAAACTAACGCTATTTCATGATTGGTCCAGAGTAATTTTTAAAACACAGCGCTACAAGAACTTCTCTTTATTAAAATATAACCGGAATCCTTCTTCTCGTTTATCGGAGAAAAGAGGTTCCAGTCCACTGAAAGCTTGCAAACTTTTCTGACAAAGGCAATATTTTTTTCACAACACAAAGAGTAGGGTCATAGTTCTAAAGAGTCAGGCAACGAAAAAGAAAAAAAATTGGGGAATTAAAGGTAGTTGGTGGACATGCGGGGGGACATGCGGGTAACGGGGGTTAAGGATATCATAGTTGAAATAAAGAAGAGGAAATGGATATGGGCCGGGCATGTAGCGCGTAGACATGATAACCGCTGGTCATTAAGGGTAACTAACTGGATTCCCAGAGAAGGGAAGCGGGTTAGGTGGAGACAGAAGGTTAGGTGGGCAGATAAGATTAAGGAGTTTGCGGGTATGAATGGGCGCAGCAAGCACAGGACCGGGTTAACTGGCGGAACATGGGAGATGCCTTTGTCCTGCAGTGGACGTTGTCAGGATGATGATGATAATGATGGTGGACATGCGCGCCAGTTTTAAGTGAGATCTCTCAGGACAGCAACAAGAAAACGCTGTAGTAGTAGTATAGATGTATGATTCGTTTTGGCCCAACACCATTTTTAATAGGTAAGTATTGGCTTGAGTGAATGTAAAAAAAAGAATATATGGGATATGGTCGAATAAAGAGACTCTACACGAGTGTATTGGTAGCTGAGTGTATTGTGAGCTACAGCATAGCAAGTTATGCATTAAACTTATAGCACAAAAAAATGGGTGACAGAAATGCGAGATCCGAACACCGCGTAGCCACGATGCGATGGCGAGTGTCCTACCTTCTTGTAACTAAAGAAAATTTTAAACAAGAATTTGTGCAAGGTTTTATTTTGACATAACGTTACGCTGTCCCCCGTGGTTTCCGGACATGACCTTATGTATAGTGTAGTTTACTCTCTTACATCTTATTTTCAGTTCCTTTCTTGTTCTCCCTGAAAAGTGAGTTGTTTGCTCAGCACTCATAAAGGGATTTTCTGCTTTCATTTGATTTGGCCTTCTCCTCCATAAAGGCACGTTGTTAATGATAAATAAATGATAATAATAGACGCATTGATAATTGCAGTTGCATATATATAATCGGCATTGCTATATTAGGATAGGTAGCGTGCTTACTAAAATCAAATACAACTGAATAAGTACGAAGAGTGCCCAGCCCACACGATTGAAGCGCAGCAGTAACAAGCTCTATGACTGAAAAAATTATCTTGCTTACGTACTCTGCAATATTCACTAATGATGGCCCCCTTGACATTCGTCTCGTGAGGTCGAATTGGAGTGCGCCACTGGTACAAGCTTGTGTGCATACGCCTTGGAGGATAAAATGCCTCGGGCATCTGAAGTTCTGTTTGACTGTAGGCCAGTTTCAGTGTTGTAGCAAAATTTTTCTGGAAAAGTATTTTTTTAATCCACGAACTTTTTGCATTGCATCACAGGGAGCTGAGTACGATGGCCTTGAGAAGTTCCCCCAGTTGAAGGAGTACTACCAGCGCTTCAAGAAGGCCCTCCCCGAGTACGAACAGGTTGCTGCCGAAGCCCTGAAGCTTATCCGGGACATGGTGGCTCGCGCAAGGAGCGGACAGAACCCTCATGGTCCTCCGAAGTAAATCACCATATCATCACAAGAAAGAAAAGAATCTTTCGTTTGCTGTACATGATTGAGAATCGAGTGCTCACTAGTAAACAAAAATACCCGACGCTTAGAAGCTGTGCATTTTTTTTAATTATTACAAAGTGTGATCGTGTGAGGAAAATTACTATTAGATATTCAAATAAACTGTGAAGAGTTCTCAAATTCTCAACAAAAAAAGGAATACACAAATTGGGTTGAGTCTTAATTAAAGGAAATGGAAATTATAAGCTGAGTAATATTAAAAATTTGGCAAGTTGGTGAAGATTCATTTTTTTTTAAGTGAAAGCGCTGTTTACCTTTAAAAGAGGGGGAGGAAATAGAAAGATAAGGCAGGGAAACGTGATTGTGCATGAAAGTGAGACAATTAGTTATTTGGACCAAAGGAATTAAAACAGCACAAAATTAGAATGCTGTAACAGCGTATTGCTAGCTTTGTTTACTTTGGCTTGCTAGCCAATACGATAAAGAAATGACAATTAAAAAAAACGGAAAATAGTGACGACTTGCAAGGAACATTGCAAGGACGACTTGCAAGGAACTGAAATCAGGATAGCTGCTGAACTGCGACTTCAGTGCTACGACCACGTACATGTCCGGTCATTCGCTAAGACAGTATTGACGTTATGCGTACTGCTTGATCCTTTTTCCCGCATAAAGTGGTTGCGTTGGTTTTTAAGAAACAAGCTGAAAGGGAAGTGTCAATGAATGAATTATTGAATCATTTCCTTCTCAAGTTCATTCTTCAGGCAACACTCCCCAGACATTGTTGCTGTGTCGTTATCGAACAGTGCTATTGTCATGACTTCGCAGTGCCTTCAGGGGTTCTCCATTCGCTTAGACCCCAAGGGTCCTTATCACGTACGGATTAGCTAAAAGAATACTTTTTTTAGTCAATCTTTCTGTTTTTTTCTGTCTGATACAAAATTTGCTGGTAAGCCAACACGGCTTAGTGCCGAGTGTTGATGAAAGCGCATGATAGTAGTTTGCCACGAGAAACGTCTTCCAGCGTTGGTTTAGTCAGCAAAGAGGGAGGGGGGAGGTCTTCGAAGTATTTCCATTTTGCATATGTACATAATGGTGCATATATATCTTTAAAAAAAGAAGGAAGGACAGAACGAAGAAAGGACGGGAAAAGCAGGCATGTTAACCAGCCCACGGACATCAAGTCTTTTCCGAAAAGGATATTCCTGCTGCCAACCTTCCCTCTTTGCTCGTGGTTTAGTGGCTAAGGTACTCGGCTGCTGACCTGCAGGTCAAGGGAGTGAAACCCGGCTGCGGCGGCTGTATTTTCCATCGAGGCAAAAATGATGCAGGCCCAGTGTGCTCAGACTTGGGTGCACGTTAAATACCCCCATGTGGTCGAAATTTCCGGAGCCCTCCACTACGGCGTCTCTCATAATCATATGGTGGATTCGGGATGTTAAACCATACATATAAATCAACCTGCTTTCTTTTTCTTCCCTCCATCCCCCCTCCCCTCGCTTGGTTCTATTACCGCAATGGTTTTCGCAGAGAGCAGCATTTAAGCCCCTATAAACTCCTCTATCACCAGCTCCATAATCGTGCCGCGTGTCATAAAAAAAAAGCTGGTTATCGAGGGGCGAGGCCAGGGGAGTGTTGACAGCTGATAACAGTCGGCTGTATTGTGGCCCGAGTTGATACCCTAGTGGCCATCAACATGGGTACCTTTTTGATCAAGGGTACCCATGTTGAAGCGCTCTTTCCATCCTTCCTCGAAGAAATGAAGGACAGATTGTAGAGGAACAGTACCAAACAAAGTGTGGGTGCATGAGGACCAAGTGCTACGCCTTCCTGACCAATCTTCGAGCTTTGATGAAACGCAATAGGTGTTTGAGGCAATCGCCAAACCCACATGACTGAATTGTGAAAAAAGGCTGGTGCTCGTGCTAAATTGGGTAGCTCTGCTTACCAACGCAAATCACAGTAGACTACTTCTATACGGTAGAGAGCATCAAATTAAGCGCAACTTGGTGAGCTGGTCAGGGTACGCCACTTCCCAATACCTAAGTTGGTCATCGGTGCTGGAACGCTGAACACAATTCTGCTACATCTGTTTTTGTGTGCATTGTTTTTTTCTCAGTGGAAGCATTCGTGAGTTTTTCAAGCAGTACTCAAAACATGGCTAAAAAGATAATGCATGACATTCCGCACTTTGGTTATCACAAGGCAACGTGTGTCAACGTCTGTTCGCCAAAATACATGTGAACACGAAAGTGTTCTATGCCGGGGTCCACTACGGCTCCGCTGACGTATTTCCGTCACGGATATGACGTTGAAAAATATATACTGACAGACTGGGAAAAAAAAGAGCGGAAGGGAAAGATTCTAGCGCGTGGCGTGAAACAAGCGACCTTTTGATTCACAGCGTGCGCCTTAACCACTATGCCGTGGAGTGAACGTTGTAGATGCCCCTAATGGCTGGCTGTTTATATACATCATACAACGCTTGGTGGCCCTCTGAGCTCTGAAACTTTAGCGCGTTTTCATCATAAGTGGCAAAATGGCGCGATGGGCTTGAGATGAGCGTGCTCTGAAGGTCGTAGCATCCGAGGAGCACCACCTCCATAGAGCGTGGTTTCTCCTGCTCGCATGCTTATCAGACTGGTAATTCGTGATAGAACGGAGGCGCCAAATTTCGCTGCCACTGCCGCGTTTACAAAAAAGGCACGCTGCTTACACATGAAGAAGAAAGAATTGCGGAAAAATTGTGACAGTTGTGGGTTGTCGCGTGCATACATATGTGCTCGTTTTTGTGTGCATTTCTTTAGGTTTGACCTGCGTGCTTTGAGTGTCGAGCTGTGGCAGTTGTTAGTCCAAGCTCATCTTTTGTATGCAAGTTTTGTGTTCCTCTTTCTGCTTTAGGGCTGTGCTGCAAGTTTCGTACTGCTTGCCGTTCTTCACGTGACTTTTCCATTTCAGGCTTTTTGCTGAAACAATGCACAACGAATGCTCAACTGCCTTTGAGAAGACGCGCTTCCATTTCATGTTATAACAATTTCTAGATAGGGGGATCATCCACATTTTCTCTTCTTTTTCGTGCTTCTCTTTCTGCCTCCTCTTTTAGTCGATCCACAAGAATAGCGTGGAGGCGAGTCGTGTAACCGGAAAGTAGCTTCGGTGGTAGCAAATATTGTATCTTGTGATAATCGAGTGTTAACATTTTACAAAGCTGCATGCAAGGGTTGGCTTGTCATTTCTTTAATATGACATTTTCAAGCTGTGCGATGAATATTTGCTTTCTTAAAGAGACACGAAGTGCTTCACAAGTGAAGAAGCACTGTTTCCTTCTCTCTCTCGAATGAAGGATATGAGATTTGAAAAAAAAAAAACAATCTAGGTATACTCATCGAGTCAATGATGATGAATGAGTGACGCAATGGTATTGTTCGGTTTAACCGTACACCCCTCGTGACATCGACTACTCACGCATGTAAATGAATGCCAAGCGGTGTACAGTTACATACAATGTTTACTGGTCATAACTAGTAACTGGAAGTTCGGTCTCCTTTTATTATTTGTATGTACTTAGATGTGTTAAATCTCAAGCATGAGAATCCTCGTGAAATTGGCAAGAGAAGACCTTATCACCAAGCTTATTGCTTAAGTGGCCATTAATAATATTTTTATTCTTTTTTCATAGGCTAATTTTTTTATCTTATCCTTACGGCTTCCATATAACGCCACGGAATGAAGCCCACGTGAATGCAGGGATGAGAGGAAATAATTCTAAATGTAGCGGAAGAATAATATGGATATTCATGTTTTGGAACGTTATTTCGATTGGGTTCTGAATGTAGTAACTTGTGTGTATCTCATCGTCTTGAATGTTCAGTAATGTTGTCATTAGACATACTTAATATTTTAATAGCATAGGAAGAAATCAAGTTATATCGGTACCATACACGTATGAAATCACTTCGTGCCGTGGTTTAAATGATATGAGGGATGACGCCATGTTTTGCGTCAACCTGTAAGCTATTTAGAGTAGGTCGGTAGGAATGGTGCACACTTTTTATGACAATCAAACTGTGTGATAAGCATACTGCGCATAGTTGGTCACAGGTGCATGCACCAGCGGTCGCTTTTATTTGACCCCCTTCATTCCTGTTGGATCTTGAACATGCGAAATATTCTAATGTGCTTGGAGATGAGCACTTACACTTGCGTGAACGAGTACACGTTGGGGCCTCTTACCTGCCGTGAAATTGCAGTCTAGTCTATCGATGTATCTCTTAGTACGTGAATGCATCTGTTGCACATTTCACTCTTTCACACACTTATAAGCATTGCAGCCGGGAATACAACTGACGCTGGGTGTCACTCTTCTGAACAATGTCGTGGTCGACGAACACCCAACGTGCCGTAGTCTTTTGGACTAACCTTTGTGCAATGAGTGAGGGGCACAAAATTTACCTCCATGTTACGATCAAAATTTGGAAACCTGTTTATTACTCATTGCAAAAGTATCCTACATGTTCAAAACACAAGAAAGCCACTAGTTAGGACAAGAACTAATAACTTCGGCTGCCCAAGTAGAGGATACACAAGACGGTGGATGTAGGAGGTGGCGCGCGCGTGCACCGTTTCTCAACATCAATGATGCATCCGAAGCGTAGGACAGGAATCATGCCGTGCATCGCATTCCTCGGTTGTCCAAGCACGTGGTAGATCATGACTCCAATAAAGCTCGCTGTGGAGCCTTCGTCTTATACCTTCGCGAGAAAATGAAGAAAAGTGGGAAGGCAGTTCAACGTTAGCCGCGTCACAGCATTACAGAAAACTGGTCTCCGACTCTCCTATGACCGTGCTTGTGATGCCGTTCTATGTGTTTGCTAAGTAGGGCTGCAGCTTGGCAGGTGACATATAGGTTGCCCCTATGTAGCGAATCTCTGGCGTGCTCGGTAATGCCATCTGTTTATTTATTTGTTCCTTTATTCATGAAATTCAAGAG